CTTCCGAACTCACTCATAAGCAAAACACTGGGGATCCTCGAGATTTTTCAAAATCTTTAAAGCACAAACATTGAGGACTAGTAAATTTTTTACAGAATCTTTCAAAAACAAAAGACAAGGGGTTCCCAAGATCGATAATTTTTAATTTTCTCAAAAATAAAACAGCGGGGACCCGAAGATTTTTTTCACATTATTAAAAAAGAAGCCATAAAGGGTCTCCAGGATTGTTTCACATTCTTGAAAAAAATTCTAGCGTCCCAAGATTCTTCAAAAAAAGATTTTAGGGATCTGCAAGATTCTTTCAGAAACAAAACCCAGGGATCTCCAAGATTTTTTAAATTTTCTCAAAAATAAAATGGGGGGAGGGGAAGATTCTTCCATGCTATTAAAAAAAAATCAAGCGGCCCTCAAGATTTTTTTAAATTCTTTACAAAGCAAAATACTAAAGTTCCTCAAAATTTTTTAAGATTTTTCAAAAAAAGATATCAGGGACTTCCAAGACTCTTTCAAAATTAAAACACAAAAAGTCTGAGTTAAAAAAAAAATCTGTCGAAAATAAAGCATCAGTAATTCCGAAGATTCTTTCATAGTTTTTGGAAAATACTTACTCTAGGGCCCTTAAGATTATTTGATATTCTTTAAAAAATACTAGGTGCGTTCAGGATTCTTCCGAACTCACTCATAAGCAAAACACCTCAAGATTTTTCAAAATTTTTAAAGCACAAACATTGAGGACTAGTAAATTTTTTACAGAATCTTTCAAAACAAAAGACAAGGGGTTGCCAAGATCAAAAATTTTTAATTATCTCAAAAATAAAACACCGGGGATCCGAAGATTTTTTTCACATTATTAAAAAAAAGCCATAAAGGGTCTCCAGGATTGTTTCACATTCTTGAAAAAAATTCTAGCGTCCTAAGGTCCTAATCTGTCAAAAAAACTAGGGGCCATTAAGATTCTTACAAAATCTTTCAAAAACAGAAGAGCAGAAATTAAAAATAGGTGTTGATTATTACAATTGCTAAACTCAGTTCCACTGACGTGCAACGTTGATTTAAAACCAATAAAACTCTAAAGTATTTCTGTGTGTTTTAACTGGCGTAATTTCTATCCTAGCTCATATTTTCCACTAATAGAAGTAATAATAATAACGTTTCAAAATAACTACAAGAAACTTGAAAACCTTCGCTATGTAATGTGACACATTACACATACACAACAACACTCCGATAACGATAATGAAGTCATGACGCCGTCTTGGAACTATTGTGGTAAATTTTACGTCGTTTTTACAATTGAAATCACACATTACATAACGTTCTTAATAAACCGACGAATGCGAATAAGTAATGCAGGGATTTTTCTCTAGTTGTTACACAATAAACAAACGTTTCCGCTACTAATTCTGTTGTTAGGATTGGCGAGACACAAGTATCGTCCGGTATACAACATTCACGTCGTTCGTGTCAGAAATTTAAAAAATATTTAAACGCCAATCCTGAGATAATTACCAATGTATATTTATGACATAATTGTGTTACAACACACTTAACATAATTCATAAGCGTGCAATTAAGTTTTTTTCTTGTCCACTTCTTGTATATGAATCAACATTTGGTTTTAGCCCGATGGCACGTCGATATCTCCACTAATCAGAGACATTGCTCACCCAATACATAATAAACCGTCAAACGCGGCTCTCTGCGCTCGCTCGCCGCTTTCGCGGCCGCCTTCACTCTGAAAACCCGCACCTTATCTCAGCGTAAATCATCAAGCTCGCCACATTTTTACTATTTTTATCTCCATCCCGGCCCTGCCTTCAGTGGCACGATCTCCAATCTCGCGAATTCCGGAATGTCCGGAATCCGGGCGTCTCGTCGCGCCTAATTTTAGGCGCGACAGCCATTGTAGGAAAATGAGATTGGCATCGTCAAGAGCGACATTGTTCAATGACACGGCGTATCGCCGCTTCGCCGCCGCCGCCGATAAATAACCGGCCCCGGCGACCATAAAAATGCCCTCGTCGACAAAGGCCCGGACCGTCCTTGATCCGGGATTTTTCAGACATTGTTAAGCGCTTTATTATACCTGCCAGTGTTTATCCCTTGCTTTATTAATAATAAAAATGAGCGTGCATAATCGGGAGAGTGTTGAAGCCGACATTCCGAGAAACCGAACGCGGACCCCCTCCAGGGGCGCCCGGCGTGCGGCCCCCATAAATCATCCCCGAGCGATAATAGCGCACAACACCTACGGACGCATTTTTCCATATTCGTGCATTGTGCCCGTGCGATTAATATTTATTGTGACAATATGGTAAATTGGTAAAACCCGGCGGGAAAATCTGCGGTTACGCCACTGTGCAGATGCGCTTCAGGGAAACGGGGAACGATACTTTCCATGAATCTTTTTTTTAGAAACAAAATATACACGGGTTGAGTAATTTTATTTTGTCACAACGGAGCTGGAAATTGTCAAAATTTTTGGCGTTCAAGATTCCCGAGAATTTCAATTTCTGACTACTTCATGACGAATATTTAGTGGTGCACCGTTGAGCATCGCTACGACGTAATAAAAACTCAATACAATCGCGCAAAATTTATTTGTTTGTGTGTTATACGTTCGATTATTTAATAATTTGCAATATATTTATCTCCTTGGCTGAATAATTGACCTTTTAAGTAGGTTTTGTTATCACAGCGATACAATTATAAAACTCACTTTCCGTTTTAAAGAACAAGACAGTTCAGACATTTTAAATTTTCGAATAAAAGTTATAATTTAGCTTAAGATCCACTTAATAAAAAAACAAAAAGGTAGAAGAGCGTTCCATGAAAACACAATTCGCCGCCTTTCTCATGGAATTCACGGAAAAAGTCGCATTCACAACGTCGGCTCGTCATTAAGGTTCAATTCGATACGCTCGAATTAAATAATTAATACCAATTCAGGCTTTACAACATTTCTAAATATAAATGGACGATCTGAACGCATTAATTTCAATTTAAATTTGATGAATAGACGAGTCGACTTTAGAGCATTTTTTATTCTTCACTAATTATCGACGAACTAACAAATCACCAGTCGATTCTCGAAAACTATAAAATTTCAGGTTTTATGGCCGTTTTTGGCGTAATTAATCACCGGAAGAGTAACTTGTTTGAGAATCTCGTGGAAAGCAGGAAATGCCAAGAAAACTTCGTCGAATTATAGAAAAATGGTCAAATAATGGGTTCTCAGGTGGCTTCGCGCACATGATGGCGCCCGGAGGGGAAGCACTAACGGACGCGCTCGATTGGCGCATCGATCAATGGCCACCACAGGGGAAACTACGATCGTCGCTACAATTAATTCTTGTGTCATACGCATTAATAACCTAAAAAATGGACAATTCGCGGATGGTAGACAGCGAGGGGCCCCGTTTACCGACGGAAGCCGCTTCCAATTAAACGATGTGTCATTTTTATTTATAACGATTGGCTAATACCGTATCTTAAGTGCATTTTTAATTAGTTTGCTCCTTTAATTGTTTTTCCCATCTCGTTGAAGGATTGATAGACGTGCCAGATAGTGGACACTTGGCGGAATTTTCTTCATTCGCTGTCATTGAAGCAGGATTAGACGACGTGAGTCACAATTTTTTGCCGTTTACATATTGATCAGATGTTCTCAACGACGTAATTTCATTACGGACGTCAATAATTAATTAAGACTAATAAATATTATTGCGGCGGTGAGAATTGTTCCGTCGAGGATGACGCCAATGCAGACTCGAAGAAGTACCATGTGTATTAACAGTGTAATTATGATAATCGAAAACTGATAAAAATCTTCCATTCCTGACACTATTTTGAAAATGATAGAAAAATAGAGAAGGATGTTGTAAATGAATCAGATTGTTTTGAAATTAGGTGTTTAGAATTGAAATTTCGCCACGATCATTTTCGCGTTTAAGAGTCACTACAGTTTGGGTTATAAAACCAAAATTTCTCTAGTGGTTTGTTATTTATGAAAGTTGTAAAATGCTGTTTATTTTTGGAAAATATTGGTATTTCGGGGATGTTTGCCAAATTCTTGAGCGTAATAAAATTTTGATTGAATTATGTTAAAAATAGTGGCACCACAAAAATAAATAGCGCAGACAGTGCAATAATTTTATGTGGGCTTTGAAATACTGACAAAAACGTTTTTATGATGTGGACTTTAAAGGACTCGCGAAACGCAAAGAAAAAAATTAATTGTGACGTGTGGGGAAAATAGCCGCAGGAATAATAAGTTCGCACAATTTACAATTTTCCAGTTATCTTCCAAGGACGCATGAAACAGAAAACCGTAATATAAAGTGATACAATAATTGAAACATCGCTGATAAGAATATTCGTAATCCTCTTAATATACACTTTATGATACGCAATTTAATTGTTTATAAATATACGCTGATACAAACTGTTATTTTTACGCCGGAATTAAATGTTATCAGAAAATTACATCTATTCCGAAAACAAGAAAATCGACTTTGATTTTTAACTTGGTCTCACATTAAAGCGCCATCTTGCGGCTGCGATTTACAACGAATATCGCTTTCTGCAATTGCAGAAACCTGTAATTTTCGAATCAATGAGTGTAGATTATCGACGGTTATAATAGTTCGTTAATGGATTGTTTCCCCACTCTTGGGTACTTTAGTCACGTCTTTTTATGTTTCCACTAACAGTCCACTCGAGACGAAAAAAATTAAGTACTTATGTAACCATTTTGAGCGATCAAGGTTCGCAGAGTCCATTAAGGTCATTAAATAAGTCGAACGATTAAACATGCGGGCGTCTGCTGTCGCGCAATAAAAATAAAAAAGTGTTTTATGAAATGTGATTTATTTGCGGAACTGCAATCCACTACTGTCTTCAACCATGTTAAAAAATCTAAATAAAAATATGTATTGTATTGTCACACATTCGCTTTCCTTCAAGAGGTAAAAATGTCACAAGAAGCATAAAAATAAATCTTTTACCAATCAAGCACAATACAATATATTTCACATGATTGACATTCATACATAATCGCAAAAGCGATACCTAAAATAGTTTCAGTAATTAATATTAACTAACTATATTAGCTGAAAACAAATTCGTTTTCCACCATTGTACAGAATTCCAATAGTTGTTGCAGATCTCCAAACACAGATTTTAATTAACATGTTTCGTGTTAGAGTCTTTGAAACGTAATAATAAAAGAAAACATGTTGATTAAAATTTATTAAATTATAGACAATAAGTTAATAATATAAATTTATTTCATAATACAGTATGATGACAAACGGGAATGTTGACGAGACTGATCAGCCAATATTTATTTATGTATTTTGTTTTATTTATAAACCATTGCGCTCCGCTGTTTGTCAAAATGAAAAAAAACTACCTTCAGTAACGGCTATCAAACATGAATGACGGATAATGGAAGAAAGAAAAATAACCAGCAAGTAAACAATAAAATGTTTTGAGCTGTGCTCAATAAAAGACGTCCTATGATGAACATGGAACTTACCATATGTTACAAATAAAACATCACGCGAAACTACTGTACAAGCTATAAATAAAAAAAACTACCGACAGAAAAAGTGCCATGCCTGGGGTGAGACTGTTTGTCCGCCATACCTACCTAGAAAAAAATCCAAACCACGTTGAACGAATTTATTAAGAGAGAGTATGTTCGACAAACAGTGGATGTGACAGTTGTAATTGCAACATATGGTATAGTAACATTGACAGAGTCCCAATCACAACAATTTTTATGTGATTGCTTCAGAACAAAAATGAAAAATAATCAAACACTGCACTTTTAACGGTTGGCATTCTTCAGTTGGTTTGAGAGCCAGTCCAGACCCTCGTATAACCCATCTCCGCTAGTCGCACAGGTCGCCTGTATATACCAGTTGCGATTTCTCAACGAGTGCAGTCCCAACTTATCCGTAATCTCCGCTGCGTTCATTGCGTTCGGTAAATCCTGCTTGTTCGCGAAGATCAACAAAACGGCATCTCGAAGCTCGTCCTCGGCCAGCATGCGCATAAGCTCGTCTTTCGCCTCGCCTATACGCTCCCTATCGTTGCTGTCCACTACGAAGATTAGGCCCTGCAAAAACAACGGCACGTGTAAACGATTACCTTCGCGCGCAGTTACAGAAACTGGGTCGACTAATTCCCAGCCACCAAACTTCACGAACAGCTTCCATTACTTACTGAAACTTTCGGCCAAAATCGATTATGAATTTCTGCACTGGAAATTTTGAGGTTTCATTAGTTTTGGTCGCGTGCTCGAATTCTAAAAAGAACTCTTCGCCCGAATTATTCACCACGACTTTTTGCGTTACTTCATAAAACAATCAACACAATACATACAATTACAACAATGAACGGTTAAAAAAACAAAGACACCAAAAACACGCAAGTGACACTTTCCACACTCAATGTAACAACGTGTTGTGGATTTCTTTCAGTTTTCCATTCGGAAATTTGGAATTTTATTTAACATAAAATACTGTATTGTAGAAAAAAAAAGTTTAAAGTTTGGAAAATTCAATGACTAAGAGAAGCGCAAAACAGTAAACATTAGAAGTAATTTGAATGAACACCATTAAGTTATTTTCGTTGACAGAAACTTGCTAAAAATAACACAACATAACATGATCGGAAATTGTTGAACGTGTGATTTCCCCGTTTTGTTTAGATGACGCATCGATGTCGATGTTGGGCAATGTGGAATAATTTGAATAAAAATAATTTTTGGTTATTTTATTTCTTAATTCATTTCCAATTACCAGTCTGGATTAAAAAAAAAAAGCAAAAAACTGAACTCACCAGCTTATTGCACCCTGTAATTATAGTGATTAAAATCACTTGAGCCAACGAAATAAAACCGAAAAACGACTTTAATACTTAAAATTAGGTAATTAAAGAGGTAATTGAGAACACCGTCGACCAGAAGCGGTAAAACATTTGTTCCCAAAGCAATGGTTTCAAAAAGATGTGCGGCACATTTAATCAGAAAACATTTTTCACGTATTATTTTACCTTAAAATCACCGCATTAACAAAAGCGATAAAGAAATCATAAAAAGCTCATTACAAGCAGCTCCGTATTTGAAAATAATTAATACAAAATCACATTAGACCAAGTACATACAAACATAAAACTTTCGACGCTTAATAATAAAAGAAAAATATAAACAGCAGAAAAATGTTTTAGAAACAAAAATATTGATCGATGATATTCCTGGCTACCGCAACGTGCCAAAAATAACAATCCACGTGTAAAAAAAGAACTGCGGCATATAAAACAAACGTGATTCACGTCCACTTGGCATTTATTTGACATTTGCTTTGTTCTTTCCAAAATGTGAATTTAATGTTTACCGATAAATTTCAAAGCAGACGTTTTTGCGTACATTGAAACCGCAACCCCGCTAACGGAGCCAAAATATTGACCATTCACTCAACCCAATATTTACATTTTCACAAAAAACGTTGACATTTCGCCACCTGTTGCCTGCAAACAAAACCTCGACAACGTAATCAAACACGCCGATTATCAATGACGTCATCACATCATCTACATTATTAAAATCGAAATGGACGCGAGAGGGCGCTTCGCTGACTTTCTTTTGTGAATTGGTGCGCAAAAACAAAAATTGAGCGCAATCTTTATTAAAATTCGGGTAATGACTTCAGATGTGGAGCGAGACTTTGTAATTAGAAATGTATCATCATGATGACGTAGAAGCGATAATTACGGGAAACCTCGTGGATGAATCATCGATGCCTACCTGTGTATTTTGGAAATAGTGTCTCCATAGCGGCCTAATTTTGTCCTGACCACCAACGTCCCACACTGTGAAGCTGATGTTCTTATATTCTACAGTTTCGACGTTAAATCCTGAAAGGGCGGTCGGAATTAGGTCAAGGGCGCTCTTTAAGGGCTAACACTCACCAATAGTGGGAATAGTAGTAACAATTTCTCCTAATTTAAGTTTATATAAAATTGTGGTTTTACCAGCAGCGTCTAATCCTACCATCAATATCCTCATTTCCTTTTTGCCGAAGAGGCCTTTAAATAAATTCGCAAACACGTTCCCCATGTTGGCTGCTTATAAGTAACCTAAAAAATCGAGAAAAACTGAATCATCGATACAATTCGACGCAGTTATATTTAGAACAAAGAGACAAACCGCGTTAACAGAGGTTATTAATCTTTAAATAAATTGACATATTGATTAAATATCAGCTGGGGAGTTCGAGGTTGCGGCGCCCGTAAGCCCCCGTGCACCCGAATCCGGCCCCCCTGCAGCCCCCTCGAACCCTCCCGAAGCCCGCTTGACTTGTTGTCACTTTTTCACCCCGCGAAGACCCGGCGCAAAAACACTGCCAAATACGCAGTTGGCGGCGCGCGCGCACTCCGACAGCCCCCTCGAGTCCGCGAGCCCCCTTTTCACACATACCTCTCTGAAAACACCACTGCACACTCAAAGAAACGCTATCACATTCACCAATCCTCCCAAAAGTTGTCGTACGTCAATATGGCGGACGTGAAAGAGATTCGTACTTCATGCCACGTCTTGGCCTACCGCCTTCCCCATTGGCCGCCCCGCCCCACGTGACCCGCCAGTGCCAATCAAAACAATCTAACCTAGTGCACCTGTGAGTCCAGAAATCGGCGAAAATTCCGTCTTCCCGCTTTTCCTTTTCAGAAACTGGGCAATGCCATACCCGGACTCGCCCTTCGAACTCGGTTTCCACGTGGAGGCGCTGTTCCAACTCGGCGATGACGACGGCGAAGCGGCTGTCAACGAGGTGAGTCGCACGAGGTTGGCAGCACTGGGGGAGTGACAGCGCGCGCTTTCAGGTTCAAATCGAACGCTTGGGAAAGTGGCTGTGTGGGGCTCCAGAAATAACCACGTTTAGGGTGAACACGCTCAGGGGCGACGTGGGGGAGGTGCGGGATGCGGTCGAGGCGCATCTGCGGGTGAGTGGCGCTGCAAAAACTACGATTTTTAGATGGGCGTTTACGCATTAGTCATCGGCGGTAATTAGATCACCGCCAGGGCCGGGTTGAGGACGGATTGGTTTAGGTTGCAGGTGGCGAGGCGATGGTGGAGAGATACCCCCACTGCGACGAGGCCATTATTGTGCACCACCCTCCTACTGCGGCTGAATTTCAATTAAAAATTCATGAGAAGGAAATCGTAGTGGATCCAATATGTGCCGCTGCTGTTTTACGAGGGGCCCATATTTACGCACCAGGTGTTATGGCGATGATGGCAGGTACGGGCGTGGATAATAAATGAGGGACATGAAAGTCGCAACTATTAAAAAAATACAGACGTCAGAAAATTAGAAAGCAAAAAATTTTTATTTGTTGGTGCAGATTATATCTAGATGAGCAAGTAGTACAGTGACGAGCAATAAATTTTGGCTGTCAGGGTTACAACAGAATATTTACTGTTTAAGATGGAGATGATGAGTTAAAAATACGAGATAGGAGTGCTTAAAAATAAATAAAATGACAATTACGTGACGCTAGAGGAAATTATGTCATGCACATTATAAAATAAATCATCGTGATTTCAATGTGTTTATAGGGAAACACATTTTTATTTACATACAGCTGATTTCATGTTTTTGACCATGTAGATAGTAAAATCCCCACCAATAATTTGATGACGGCATCTCTAAATCCTATTTAAGTTTTATAAAATAACATAGCTACTTACACATCTGTGGTTTATGAATCCGTCTTTATTTTTTGCCATCAGCACTGATTATTTTGTGCAGGAACACAAAGAGGAGACCACGTAAGTATCTACTGTGACCTCGAAAAGCGATGTAGAAAAGGCTTGTCAAAAAAATACGAAGGCAAGAAAACTTTCATCGGAAACGGATTGGTTAAAATGGAACGTCACCACCTGTTTTGCGAAACACCCAAAACGTTAGTTCTTGTCACTTCATCACATAATTAATCACACTTCATTTTGTAGAGGAATCGCAATACAGATGCTTGAAACCAAGTCCAACTGTCCACCTCTACTCGGCGACGATTTTCTCCCATCAGGAGTGGCAATCCTGCAAAATCTACCCTCAATAATTTGCATACATGTACTTAACCCACAACCTGGGGACATAATTTTGGACATGTGTGCCTCACCTGGGAACAAAACGACACATATTGCAGCACTCACTAAAAATCAGGTAACTAAGTACAAAACCAGTTATACCCTGTGTTAAGTATGTTGTGTTCAGGGTAGGTTGGTAGCAATTGATAAAACTCCAACAAAAGTGGCACAACTGCGCCGAAACTGTGACGTTTTTGGCGCCAAAGCTGAAATAATTCAAACCGATTCGACCAAACTAGTTGAAGACGGACGTTTTGCGCTCGAAACGTTCGACAAGATACTTTTGGATGCCCCTTGTAGCGCGTTAGGAAAAAGACCTCAGCTGCGGAATACCGTTACAAAAAAAGTTTTGCGTTCCTACGTGCCTCTACAACGTAAACTATTCCAAAACGTAAGAATTCGCCAAAAATAATTCTTTTCCAAGACAGTTTGCTTTCCAGGCTGTCAAACTATTAAAACCTGACGGGATACTAGTTTATAGCACTTGCACTGTGACGTTAGCCGAAAACGAAGGAATAGTAGCATGGGCTTTAAAGAATTTCGACTTGGAATTAGAGGAAGCAACTCCGATTTTGGCAGGACCGGGCTGGAAAGGTACAAATCTAAACGACGAGCAACTGGCAAAGGTCCAGCGTTTCGGACCTGATCAAAGTATAGACTCTGTTGGTTTTTTTATAGCAAAGTTTATTAAAAGGTAATCGTTACACGTTGAATTTTTCGTCAATGGATCCATGTCCAGACACTGGTACGTCTATATAATATTGAGGTAAATTGGTTAGGATTCGCAGACTCTCCAAGTATAGTTTGCAATGTCGGGGTGTGAAATACACAGCGATATCTATAAACTGTTGATTAACTCCTGTATTTCTGGGTATTTCGCCAAAGCTGGGGCGCACTTCGAAATCGTCGTGGTTTGTAGTTTTGACAATTTCGTAGTGAATGGGTGCCCCTGGAAAATTACTGTCAGTGAGTTGGCAACACTTGATGCCACTACCTGTCATATTATAAATAGTGAAGATAAGTTTTTTGGTTCGATAGAGTAAACAGAATCCAAATTTGATGAAGTTCGGCTTCACCACGATGTGTGGGTAGTGCAGACGCACCGTAAACGGAATCGCCTAAACGAATGTTAGTAGTAAAATTTTATTAGTATACAAAGTGTGTTTGTACCTGTCGCGGAGCCCCCCGTTGACTCACGTTCAAGCTTTTCGAAATAACGCTGACGAAGTTTTGGGCTTTGTCAATACCTTCAGAGTCGTCATGTTGGTAGATGAGGTCGGCGTATTGTGTGAGGTCTTCGTACGAGAAGGAACAAGTGACCGCCACCTACAAAGTTCTATATTCACTGGAAACGTCCCTTTATATTTATTATTATATATACCTGTAAGGACTCGTTTCTCATAAGGGTCAAGTTCTCAGTATTGGTGATCCCTGCAGGGACGGTTCGCGCCCCACTGATCAAAAAGGGCTTTTCGATCCCGATTTTGAAATGAATGACACTCTTGTCGACATTCCTCAGAAGCAAATACATTTCGGGGAATTTATAACCACAAAGTAGGATGTCGTTGACGAAAAGATCTATACACGTTTCGTCACTCGACAAAGCCATCTGCATGATTGGCAACTCTAGTGTTACTAGAATGCTAATTCGAGCATGTGGCGCATCCATTCCGCAATCCCTCTTGAAGTAGTTTTCCTTAAACCTACACCCCTAAGCGTACTTTTAATACACACCCTAAACTTACTTGTCACAGTTTTGCAAGCCAATCAAACCGTGCAACTCGTACTTAAGTCTAGTCTTGTCAAACTGCGGCACAAACCCATCTGACGCAATTTCGACAGACACTTCAACAGTCCCCTGTTTTTCGACCACCAAAAACCACGGCTTGACAGAAACGCACCTTGAGCAGGCTTCGAATCCATAAAACCCCCGCGACATATCCACACAAAGCGATTCGTTGGGGAATTCCACGAAGAGGTTAACTGGAAGCATGTGTTTGTCGTGGGCACGTGTGAACACGTGCCAGTCGATTTCCACCGCTACCGCGCTTGTGTTGGTAACAGTGAAGCCTCTGACGCATTTCTCAGACATGTAGGCTAGATTTTCAAAACTGTGAGAAGTTAGAGGGGGTGGTGGCTGCATAGTACCGGATTGTGGGACCGGGGAGGGTCGTATTTCGGGCGAAAGGGAACTCGATGGGCAAGCCTACCACTTCTAGGAGCAGGTTGAAGCAAAAGGGGGTTAGATCGTTGACTTCGACTATCACTTCTTCGAGGTACTTGCCCCAAGTGTTGGCGTAGACCCAGAGGTGGATTTCGACGACTTCGTAGGGGACGATGTCGCCGGAGGGTCGCTCGGGTTCTACCACGATCCCGTATCCGTCCATGCAAGCTTTCTCCCAGAAAAATTCTACTCCATCGGTTCGGTAAACGGAGTATATCTAGGTTGTACTCACCGGGAGTTCGAGTTTTTGCTTTCACGAGTATGTGGTTAAGACATTCGGATTCGGGATTATAGTTAGTAGGGTTAACCTTGTAGTGTCCACCAATAGGTGTTAAATTTTCCATGTAGAAAGTGACTTTAGCTTCTAGAATCTCAGTAGCAGTCAATTAAACAAAAACACAAAAATAATACTTTGCTTCACGTTGATTTCCTTTGTTTTAACCGTGGGGTATGTAACTGCTACTGAATCAGTAGCTATGATATCTGCTAAACTAGGATCTATTAAAGGTACGTCTAGGGGTGGAAGCCAGCCCTCTGTGATACTCATGGGTTCCTTAATGTCTTCACCGTTGTACTAAAAGTACACATTACTACCGTTTCTTACCAGTGTTGATCGTACCGTTTCGTAGTCCCATGGAGGTAGGTCTGTTTTAGGTGGCCACAGAAACCTATTGTAACCTTTATCTCTATTAGGTAGATAAAAGTATAAATTGATATTTGCCACCGTACAAAGAAGTGTCAAAAAAATAAATTTGTTGCGGTCACCAATAAAACATGGTATTTGGACGTTTTCAACAATTCCACTTTCCAAAGCCACGAGTTGAACTTTAACTTCAACTGTAGCTCCTGGGTGAATTACGCCCGACTGAGGACTAAATTTTAACTGGACTTTATCAGCGTGGGTACCTACGGGTTTCAGAAAATAAAAGCAACCAATCACTAGTCCATTGTTAGAAACGTAAACCGTATACACTGATGGTATTCCTACATAGATGAACTCCCTAGGACACAAAATCGCCTTATTATTTTCTGTGTAAATCGATATATTAATTTCTGCGACTTCGTAAGCCACTAAACAAATGGACTCCATGATATAATCCTGACACGCGCAAAGAGGGGCAGCGAAAAGACACAAAATATCGACTCTTTGAACGCACTCCTGAAAACACCAATAACGTAACCAAGAACCCATTTAAAGTTACTACTTTAGCTTGAAGGGTGTACGTAATTTTCCCTTTCTCGTGCCTCCTCAACGATCCCGTCGTTCGATTCAGTGCGTTTGATCCTGAAGATATCAGAAAATTGTCTTTCTCGCCACGAATTTCCGCAATCTTCCAGTGGAGCTCGCGGTCCGTTAAGTTCTTAATGTACAAATGTTTCGAGGTTTGGTACCCTTTTGGAACTAGTCCGAAATTGAGGACGATTTTCGTGAAAGTCATTTGTGGGAAAGTCTCTGGGTCAAGCGACCCACTGGACATGGATTAGAAAGACGTACTCGAGTTTTACTTACATGACGAGTACATTAGTCGGAATCACGGTGCGAATTTTCACTTCGCAGGTTAAACCCAGCTCGAAAATGTGCACGTCTGCCAACTGAAAGGATAGTAAAAGGAGGTTTGTTCGTCCCGTTCAAAAATTCGATGACGTCATCGTAAAAAATGTTAAGGTCGATTTATAAACTTGTCGCTGACGTTGACGTTGGGTTTTCAACCAATCAAATTGCGGTAGTGTGAAGTGCTGCCAACTTGAAGGAACATCTTCTTTAAGCTATGTAAGCACCTGTTCACCGAAACCCTCATATTTTAAATTGCTACACTGTAGCTTTTTGTCAGTAATTATAAGATATGTAGTTCTCAATGTTTAAAACAACAAGATTTATTGCTTTTCGTCTCAAAAACAGATTAGGCGTTATAACTACATTTTTCCCTTTTTTCTTAATATGTGTAGTCTTCTTTTCATAACAAGAAAGGCAAAACATCTTTAAAATGGTAAATTTTTGTAGGAAAGTATCGATTTTGCAATTCTCTTTTGGTTTCCTTTTTTAATTAAAACATTTAGTTTTCTTTGTATAATACGATTACCTAAGAACATATTTCACATGGTAACTTCTCGTAGAAAAATAAGGAGTTTACAATTAAGCTCCGCCCCTCGACTTACAAGGCATAAAAAAATTTATCAAAATTGAGATAGGGCGGGTGGGCGGGGCTTATATTTTGTCTTTTTTTTCTCATTATACATAGCCATCTTTTCATAGCAAGAAACTTAGAACATGGTTCAAATGGTACATTTTTGCAAGGAAACATGGATATTGCAGTTATGAGGCGGATCTTAATTGCAAAATCGATATTTGCCCTAGACAATTTTACCATTTTAAACATGTTTTAAGTTTTTGTTGTGAAAAGATGACCATACATTTTAAGAAAACAAGGCAAAATATAAGCCCCGCCCACCCGGCCTATCGCAATTGTGATGATTATTTTTATTCAGCGTGAACGAATGAGACGGAGTTTAACTGCAAAATACTTAATTTTTTACAAAAAATTAAAAACAAATTTTTGAGTATCGTGTCGTTCACAGAATACTGTGGATATTTAAAAAATAGGTAGAATGTTAACCCCGCCCGCCCACCCCCATCTCAATTGTGATGATTTTTTCTATTCCTAGAAACTTAAAACACGCAAAATGGTAATTTTTTGTAAGGAAATATGTTTTTCCAATTAGACTCCGCCTCTAGGTCTGACAACGAATGAAAAATTCATCACGATTGAGATCGAGACTGATGGGTGGAGTTTCTCTTTTGGTTTTCTTTTTTAATGAATTTATTTAGTTTTCTTTGTATAATACGATTACTTAAGAACATATTTTACATGGTAACTTCTCGTAGAAAAATAAGGAGTTTACAATTAAGCTCCGCCCCTCGACTTACAATGCATAAAAAAATTCATCAGAATTGAGATAGGGTGGGTGGGCGGGGCTTATATTTTGTCTTTTTTTTTCTCATTATACATAGCCATCTTTTCATAGCAAGAAACTTAGAACATGGTTCAAATGGTACATTTTTGCAAGAAAATATGGATATTGCAGTTATGAGGCGGAGCTTAATTGCAAAATCGATATTTGCCCTAGACAAATTTACCATGTTAAACATGTTTTAAGTGTTTGTTGTGACAAGAGGACTATACATTTTAAGAAAACAAGGCAAAATATAAGCCCCGCCCACCCACCCTATCTCAATTGTGATGATTTTTTTTATTCACCGTGAACGAAGGGGGCGGAGTTTAACTGGAAAATACTTATTTTTTTACGGGAAATTAAAAACAAATTTTTGAGTATCGTGTCGTTCAAAGAATACTATGGATATTTAAAAAATAGGCAAAATATAAACCCCGCCCGCCCACCCCATCTCACTTGTCAGCATTTTTTTATTCCTAAAAACTTACAACACGTTAAAAATGGTACTTTTTTGTAAGGAAATATGAATTTTGCATTTAGACTCCGCCCCTACGTCTGACAACGAATGAAAAATTCACCACGATTGAGATCGCGACGGATGGGTGGGGCTTCTCTTTTGGTTTCCTTTTTTAATTAATACATTTAGTTTCCTTTGTATAATACGATTACCTAAGAACATATTTCACATGGTAACTTCTCGTAGAAAAATAAGGAGTTTACAATTAAGCTCCGCCCCTCGACTTACAATGCATAAAAAAATTCATCAGAATTGAGATAGGGTGGGTGGGCGGGGCTTATATTTTGTCTTTTTTTTTCTCATTATACATAGCCATCTTTTCATAGCAAGAAACTTAGAACATGGTTCAAATGGTACATTTTTGCAAGGAAATATGGATATTGCAGTTATGAGGCGGAGCTTAATTGCAAAATCGATATTTGCCCTAGACAAATTTACCATTTTAAACATGTTTTAAGTTTTTGTTGTGAAAAGATGACTACACATTTTGAGAAAACAAAGCAAAATATAAGCCCCGCCCACCCGCCCTATCGCTATTGTGATGATTATTTTTATTCACCGTGAACGAAGGGGGCGGAGTTTAACTGGAAAATACTTATTTTTTTACGGGAAATTAAAAACAAATTTTTGAGTATCGTGCCGGTCAAATACTATGGATATTTAAAAAATAGACAAACTATAAACCCCTTCCGCCCACCCCATCTCACTTGTCATGATTTTTTTTATTCCTACAAACTTAAAACACGTTAAAAATGGTAAATTTTTGTAAGAAAATATGGATTTTGCATTTAGGCTCCACCCCTAGGTCTGACAACGAATGAAAAATTCATCACGATTGAGATCGAGACGGATGGGTGGGGCTTCTCTTTTGGTTCTCTTTTTTAATTAATACCTACATTTAGTTTTCTTTGTAAAACACGATTACTTAAGAACATATTTCACATGGTAATTTCTCGTAGAAAAATAAAGATTTTCACAATTAAGCTCCGCCCCACGGCTTACGACGAAAAAAAGATCATTAAAATTGAGATAGGGCGGGTGGGCGGGGCTTATATTTTGTCTTTTTTTTCTTAATATACATAGCCATCTTTTCATAGCAAGAAAATTAGAACATGGTTAAAATGGTACATTTTTGCAATTTACCATTTTAAACATGTTTTAAGTTTTTGTTGTGAAAAGATGACTACATTTTAAGAAAACAAGGCAAAATATAAGCCCCGCCCACCCGCCCTATCGCAATTGTGATGATTATTTTTATTCACCGTGAACGAAGGGGGCGGAGTTTAACTGCAAAATACTTAACTTTTTACAAGAAATTAAAAACAAATTTTTGAGTATCGTGTCTTTCAAAAAACACTATGGATATTTAAAAAAAAAGGAAAAATGTTTTTGCAGTTAAGCTCCACCTTCTTGGCTTACGACGATAAAAAAATCATCACTTGAGACAGGGTGGGTGGGCGGGCTTCCATTTTGCTTTTTTCTCATAATGTAAAAGTATGGGCTTTCTCGTGATGTCAATTAAATCAAATTTTAAAATACAGAATGTCCACAAAAAAATTTCAAAGAGAACATGTTTTATTACTATCTCTTACTCTATTTTTTGTTCTCATTATTCTAATATGTCGATGTGTCACTTAAAAAAGTAAAAAAATTCCAGTAACAAAAAAAAATATAGGGTGGTCTACTTGAAAAAATATTAAAATATCGATATTTGAAAATTGTAATAATAAAAAAAACGCTTTGTAGATGACAATGTCCTTTCTTTTATACCACAACAAAGCGCGTACCTTTATTTATCTCTCCACAAAATATTGCAATACAGATTTAAAATATAATCCTGCTGCGATTTATTTTGTGAACTTTTCCCCTGCTAAAAAAATCAAGAAAATTGTAATAATATGGCAACGTCGCATGAGAATTTAAAAAATTAACCGTGGTTTTAGACCACGCACAGGTTAATTAAAATATCTAAAAATACATAGGGTATTTCATAAAAAAACTAACTTGTGTGTTGTACCTTAAAAACAGAACACTCTGTATAGCTAAAAATAATTTTAGAGTGTAGCCTTGGAAGATCCGCCCAACTTTGGTTTTTACCTTTTTTTTTCTGTTTCAATGGTCAATGAAATATTGAAACATCAAAAAATCGAAAATTGAAAAAGTAAATCGAAAATTTGAATAATCGAAGAATTAAAAAATCGAATTTTTTTATGAACACTCTGTAAATGACAATTTCATTTCATTTATATCGCAAGAAAGCGCGTATCTTTACTCATCTCTCCACAAAATATTGTAACACAAATTTTAAACATAACGCTGCTGCGATTTTTTTGTGTACCCTTCGATTGCAAAAAATTCAAGGAAATTGTAATAATATGGCAACGTTGCATCAAATTTTCAAAAATAAACAATGGTTGTAAAGACTATAAGAACAGGTTAATCAAAATATCTAAAAATATATACGGTCTTTCTTAAAAAAAAAAAATAAATTATGTATTGCGCCTCACCCTGTAGATACGGCAACACTGGTTTACCTGCCATATGAAATTTAATATCACAGACTAAAGTTGTACGGTTCTTTGAGAACTATATTTTAAAATAATTTTTAACTGTACAGAGCGTTCTGTTTTTAAGGAGAACAATTTAGTTTTTTTTTTAATAAAACGTCCTGTATAACGTTACATATTGTAATTGTCCTTTCTGCTTAGGCGTTACTTTTGAAATTCCGATGCGACGTTGTCACGTTATTCCAGTTTTCTTGAAATTTTTGGCAATGGAAGGGTAAAAAAATCTCAAAAAAAGAGTAAACCAACCAACTGATCTTAGAGAAGTACTACGTATTTTTTTAAGTTAATGCGACTTCCATACAATTTTTCATCCCGTATTTTATCTCCTTATTCCGAACTTTCGTACTTAAAACATGTCTAAAATGGTAAAGTTTTGTAGGAATCAACTTAAATTCTCCACTTTTCTTCTACAACCCCGTATAAAGTTTATAAATGACAATTTTCAGCTCTAAAAGCAACGTCAGCGGGAACAGCAAGTTTATAAATCCCTCTTTAATGGTGTGAAACTTAAATGGACGCTTAATAGTATAGTGGTCAGAATACCGACCTTGTTCGACATGTCGAACATTTCACTCTTTGTTTCTTCTAGGGGTCTGCACAAGACATTACACGTTTCGAGACTTATTATTTCACCTTCACGTCGCACCCTAAAATGGTCGCTCATCACCGATTTAATCGGAACGTTTTTCAAGTACAAACTAAACACTCAATCAAGGTGAAAATAAAACCTTAACACGTGACAAGGTTACCTGAAATATATGTAGTACGAACCCTCGAGTTCAGTTCGAGGGGTAATTTTGACCACCACCTCCGTTGTACTAAAAGACGGCAAATATTTACCCGAGTGCAAAATTTCAATCCAAGAAGAATCCATTTTTTCGGCCGTGGTAACATCTTGGGTGTTGGTTTTCAAAGCCCAGAAGTGCTCAAAATAAATTGGGCTGCAATTAATGGTTTAATTGCTAAGGATTTGCACACTTTTACCTTTCATTAATGACTGAAAATGCGAAACTGGCGGTTGCAAAAGGTTCCAGAGTTACCTGGACCATATGGTCGGTGTAGGCGAATTGGTCTTCCGCTATGTACAACTACAACGTAGAGAAGTATAATAAGAGTAGGATTTCTGTCGGTGACGGTACGTCTACTCGGAGAAAACTGTCAGAGAAAGCTATACCATCTCCCAGAAGCTCAATTTCCTGGTGGGAGTAATTGTCACAAATGATGAATAATTTTTCAGCGTAAAACTCGATGCTTTTTGGAAGAAAACACACGCAAAGTTGGCCCACTTCTCCCTCGTCGATTTCAAAGTACGTAGGGAAAAGGGTGAAAGCTCCTTGAGTCAGTTCCAAAGCTCTGGTACTCTCCTATAACAACCACTATTACACTCGCATCGTGCGATTTCTATATGCACTCTAGTACCACATTAAGTTCGCTAAAAATCCACTCGTTTTCCGTTGTGATGAAAAATCGTCCTTTTTGCCCGTCGTTTTTTATAATAACAGTCATGAGGGAGTAACTTCCCAGCAAACAAGTACCACAGTCGATTGAGAAGTTGCAAGCACTTTGACGCCGGTCCGAGAAGTACCGGTTTCCAGGCATCGGCTTTTGTACGACGTCCCATGGTAAAAGAGAATTGAGAATGTAGCAAGTGAGCTTAGGAGGGTCTCGCACACTGGCAACAAGTACTTTAAGATCTACACCGTTGGCGGTCTTAAATAGTACCACTTCTTGACAGTCTTTGTAAATTTGGGTTTGAAACGTAACCACGAACTCTGCAGACATTCCTGGCGCCAGTTTGGCAGAGTCGGTTTGTAGTTTTAGGCGAAAAGAACTGTCTTTGGGGAAGTCGTGGTAGCTGAAGTACTGAGGGACGTTTGTGATGTTTCGAAGTTTGAATTTCTCCTGAAAGTCAGTCAGGGTGCGGAAAACGAGAAATACGAACTTACCTTGTACGTTCTCCCTAAGTTGTAGTTGTAGAAGATTATTTTATTGGGTTCTAGTTTGAAAAGTGGCCCCGTGGGAGGTTCGGTTTGTTTTCGTTTCTTAAGTTTTTTGCTTGGTACGGTTGGTACTACGTGTTCGGCTTCAGGTAGACATGGCTGGCATGTGTGTAAAGACGGGTTGTAAGTGAAATTCAAATACTGTTCGATAACATTAGGGTAAATCTCGTTTTTCTCTATCAGTCCATACGTTTGAACAGCGTAGTCACCCAATTTTTGAAAAAGGGACACCCGTTTCAGTTTTAGTTCTTCGTAAAGCGACACGTTTTCGTGTTTCTGGATAACCGCCAACGCGTGGTTTCGCATAATTTCCTTCTCCACTTCTGTGATATCGTTCAAACCCGTAGACAAACCTTCCAAAACCTTAATCGTAGTCAATCCGGCTTCTCGCGACTGAGTAAAATCCACATCCACCTCGTACTTCTTGTAATTATCAGCGACATTCCTCGGATACTTCTGCGCCCGGAACACGTCTTGAAATATCTCAGTAGTGAGGGGGAGCACGTCGTGATCCTCCTCATTTTTGGGTATCAAAGGCAAACGATCCATTGTCAAAATGACAGTAATGACAGCAAATTACTAAAATCCTATATCTTTATTTTCACTATCCATACATGTGAAAAAAATCTTAAACGAGATTATATATACAGAGAATTCTTTCCAAATATTGCATTCCATTGAAAACAAAAATGAGGGAAAGTACAGATAAATGCTTAAAACAAAAAAACAAACTTAATTTCGAAACAGAGAATAAATCGCAACTATGCTCAACGTCATGCCTTAACCTAAACGAAACTGAAGCTTATTTATCCAACTCTAAGCTCGCGTACTCCTCTGGCGTCACCTGCGTCACCATCACGTCGCCGTCCGGCAACATCACGACAACCTTGTGGGTACCACCTGGAACAGAAACGGTTGACAAAGGGCGGGAAAGTTAAGAGCAGTATATTAAAATTAATAAGTGTTCCAATGAGATATATATGTGTTTTTTATATTTCGCCCCTTTAACGGATAAAATTGACCCTTTACACCACTAAGATGGGCGCCGATTCAGTGGTACCAATAAAGTGAAAAAAATTGTACTATTTGTCCGTACTCAAATTTAAGTTGGCAGCAATGAATCTTCTAAGTAAATCAAGTACAAAGTGGGATTTATAAACTTGCTATTGACGTTGATGTTCCAGTTTCTTGTTGTCGAAATAACTGTACACATATTAAGAAATATGGCAAAATGTAGCCCCGCCCACCCGCCCTATCTCAATTGTGATGATTTGTTTTTTGATCGCCGAAAGCTAAAGGAAGGGAATTTAATTGCAAAATCCTTGTTATTTCTCTACAAGAATTACCATTTAAAACATATTTTTAAGTATTGGGTTATTCAAAGAATACTATGTATATTAAGAAACAATTGAAGCCAAAGGTTAAGCCCCACTCACACTTGCCCTGATCTAAATAGTAATGAAGTTTTCATTCGTTGGCAGACCAAAATTCATATTTCCTTACAAAAATTTACCATTTTAAACGTGTTTTAAGTTTCTACGATTAAAAAAAAATCATCACAATCAAGATGGGGTGGGCGGGTGGGGTTTATATTTTGGCGTTTTTTCTTAATATACATACAATTCTTTGAACAATACGATACCCAAAAACATGTTTTTGTTTCTTGTAGAAAATATGTACATATTTTGCAGTTAAGCTCCACCCCCTTGGTTCACGGCAAATAAAAAAAATCATCACAATCGAGATCGGGCGGGTGGGCGGGCTTACATTTTGCCTTTTTGTTTTAATATGTGTAGACTTCTTTTCACAACTTGAAATTTAAAACATTTAAAATGGAAAATTTGTATAAAGAAATATCGATTTTCAATTAGCCTCCGCCCCATAATTGCAAAATCTATATTTCCTTGCAAAAATGTACCATTTTAACCACGTTCTAAGTTTCTTGTGAAAAGATGGATTTGCATATTAAGAAAAAAAAAAAAAAAGACAAAATATACCCACCCTATCTCAATTCTGATGATTTTTTATTCGTTGTAAGCCGAGGGGCGGATCTTAATTGTAAAATCCTTATTTTCCTACGAGAAATTACCATGTGAAATAAGTTCTTAAGTAATCGTGTTATACAAAGAAAACTCAATGCATTAATTAAAAAAGAAAACCAAAAGAGAAGCCCCACCCATCCGTCTGAATCTCAATCGTGATGAATTTTTCATTCGTTGTCAGACCGAGGGGCGGAGCGTAATTGCAAAATCGATGTTTCCTAAACAAATTTACCATTTTAAACATGTTTTAAGTTTCTTGTTGTGAAAAGATGACTACACATATTAAGAAAAAGACAAAATGTAGCCCCACCCACCCGCCCGATCTCAATTGTGATGATTTTTTTTTATTCGTCGTGAGCCAAGGGGGCAGAGCTTAACTGCAAAATTCTTATTTTTTCTACGAGAATTTAAAAACCTGTTTTTAAGTATCGTGTTGTTCAAAGTAGGCATATTAAGAAAAAATTAAACCCAAAGATCAAGCTCCACCCATACCTGCCCTGTTCAAAATGTAATGAAGTTTTCATTCGTTGGCAAACCTAGGGGCGGAGCCTAATTGCAAAATCCATACTTCCTTAGAAAAAATTTAACATTTTAAACGTGTTCTAGGTTCCTAACAATAAAAAAAAATCGTCACAATTGAGATAGGGTGGGTGGGTGGGGTTTAATATTTTGCCCTTTTTCTTAATACACATAGTATTTTCTTTGAACAACACGATACTCAAAAATATGTTTTTAAATTTCTTATAAAGAAATAAGTATTTTGCAGTTAAGCTCCGCCCCCTTAGTTCACGCCCAATAAAAAAGGATCATCACAATTGAGACAGGGTGGGTGGGCGGGTTTACTTTTTGCTTTTTTTTTTTTTTTTAATATGTGCAGACTTCTTTTAACAACATGAAACTATGTGCTATGTATATTAAGAAAATTAAGAAAAGAAAAGGCAAAGTATAAGCCTCGCCCACCCACCCTATTTCAATAGTAATGATTTTTTTTATTCGTCGTGAGCCAAGGGGGCAGAGTTTAACTGCAAAATTCTTATTTCTCTGGGAGAATTTAAAAAGCTGTTTTTGAGTATCGTGTTGTTCAAAGTAAGTATATTAAGAAAAAATTAAGATTAAGCCCCACCCATAACTGCCCTGTTCTAAATAGTAATGAAGTTTTCATTCGTTGGCAGACCTAGGGGCGGAGCCTAATAGCAAAATCCATATTTTCTTAGAAAAATGTAACATTTTAAACGTGTTTTAGGTTTCTAAGAATAAAAAAAAAATAATCACAATTGAGATGGGGTGGGTGGGTGGGGTTTTAATATTTTGCTCTTTTTCTTAATACACATACAATTCTTTGAACAATACGACATTCAAAAACATGTTTTTATTTCTTGTAAAAATATGTATTTTGCAGTTAAGCCCCGCCCCCCCTTTGGTTCACGGCAAATAAAAAAATCATCACAATCGAGATAGGGCGGGTTACATTTTGCCTTTTTGTTTTAATATGTGTAGACATCTTTTCTCAACATGATACTTAAAACAGGCTTAAAATGGAAAATTTGTATTGGGAAATATCGATTTTGCAATTAGGCTCCGCCTCATAATTGCAAAATCCATATTTCCTTGCAAAAATGTGCCATTTTAACTACGTTTTAAGTTTCTTGTTGTGAAAAGATGGCTATGTATATTAATTAAAAAAAGACAAAATATAAGCCCCGCCCACCCACCCTATCTCAATTCTGATGATTTTTTTATTCGTTGAAAGCCATTTTAAACATGTTTTAAGTTTCTTGTTGTGAAAAGATGACTACACATATTAAGAAAAAAAGACAAAATGCAGCCCCACCCACCCGCCCGATCTCAATAGTAATGATTTTTTTTATTCGTCCTGAGCCAAGGGGGCAAAGTTTAACTGCAAAATTCTTATTTCTCTACGAGAATTGAAAAACCTGTTTTTGAGTATCGTGTTGTTCAAAGTAAGCATATTAAGAAAAAATTAAAGCCAAAGATTAAGCTCCACCCATACCTGCCCTGTTCTAAATATTAATGAAGTTTTCATTCGTTGGCAACCCTACGGGCGAAACCTAATTGCAAAATCCATATTTCCTTAGAAAAATTTAACATTTTAAGAGGTCTATTTTGTAACTCTTAACGATCTCGCTAGAGCATCGTTAACTTACGATAATCGTTCCCATAACGATTTTGGGTATGATAGCGATTTTGTAACATCTATCGTCTCGTTACATAGCGATCGTATCGTTAGAATGTCATCGTTCCGGAACGATAGGTTTCAGCTCACCGTTAGAAGTGTCAGAACACGTTAGAAAACTATTTATACAATGAAGAGGAACGTTTTGGTGCAAATATGGGTAGAGAAGGTAAATGTAAGTAATTAATGTATGTTTGGACTAGGTTGATAACTTATTATATATTTTTTTTACTGCAGAGACAGAATGAGAAATTTGTCTCGGGTCTTAAGAGATGTAAACGACCCCTTGATCGTTCGAGAAGAAACCTTTAGGAAGACCTACCAACTGTAATGGGAAGCGGCGAGAGATACATTTCCAGAAATACTGCCGCAGAGTTCTGTATTATTCACCAGAAGTTGCAGGAAAAATTATATACTCATGTGCTATTTCACACAACATCTTACGCATAAGAAATATCGAAAATGACGAGATCAATATTGTCTATGACAAGGAGAACGATAATAATGAAGAACTTGAATATGAAGAACACAATTTACTACATGAATGGCATATCACAAGAAATAATTTAATAATACAGCATTTTCACTAATGTATTTATTATTTTTTTTACAACATAATGAAATTATTAAACAGTTCCTCTTTCATATAGTCTTAAATTTCTGGCCTTCTTTCAAACATTGAATTTCCAATCTACAAATCTCGGGAACACACAGTGACGTTTACTTACCCGGCAGTACATTGTAATTAGAGTGCCCTATGTTATATTCTTGGTGTACTAAAAAACACAGAGGTTATGGTTTATTGTGTAACAGTATTTATAAAGATTAAACATCTCAGTTCTCATAATTGATTGGTCATGACTAAACAAGATGTTCACTTTGTCTTAAACAAAGTGTTGATGTAAGCAGAATAATTGCTAATAGTTGTACGATAAATTATAGTGAAGTACACATTTTTAAAAAGAGTGTTCGGGCGATTAATTAATTACACATACCTCTTTGAACTGCTGAACACTTTTTTGTGGTCCTCCCACAGAATTTAGTTTTCCTACCAACCCTTCCCATATCTTTTCTAAAAGATCTGGCTTGTCCGCTACGAACTTTTGGGCCCTAAAATCTACATTACCTTCTAACTCCTCCACATACAACTCATGTTGCTGTTGGGTAATACGCTGGGCCCTTTTACGTTTTTCCATTGCTGCCATGAACGTATTGTAAACTGAATTTCGTGTTAGTGTGATTATTTTGATGTTTTTCTTTTATAATTATTGTTTACTTACATGTTATAAGTTCACAAATTTGTCCAAACTTCAATCAGTAGCAAAACAAATGTCACATGTCACAACAGAGAACAACGTAATCTAGACGCTACACAAATTTAAATACTACCCATTTTAAAAACATTAGATTCATCGTTCCGCTAACGATTTCAAAGCTTTACGATTACGATAGTGTTTATAAAATTGGAAATTTGTACAATCTCGCTAAACTGATTTTACGATTGCTTCTAACGATTACCGTTTGGGAACGAGATCGTTCCGGAGCGATAAATTACAAAATAGACCCCTAAATGTGTTTTAGGTTTCTAACAATAAAAAAAATCATCACAATTGAGATAGGGTGGGTGGGTGGGGTTTAATATTTTACCCTTTTTCTTAATACACATAGTATTCTCTTTGAACAACACGATACTCAAATAGTATATTATTAGCCAAGGTTGCAGAGCCAAGCATTCTAGACCGAGCGCAAATTAGAACCCGAGACGCGCAGCGTCGAGGGCTCTAAGTGCGAGGTCTAGAAGTGGCTTTGCAACCGTGGTTAATATACTATTTTTTTCACTAGTAGAAACCATAAGACAATAAACTGAAAAATAAACGTTCAATTTTTTGACACAACACGATTTTGTTTTGATTTCTAATCAAACTTAATCTAAGGGGCCAATTCCAAGTTGATGGCGCAAGTCACTGGTGCAGCGCAACTTTATAATGCTAATTTGGGTATCAAATGCTGGTTGCTAGGGGTGACGGAATAAACAAGCGCAATTTTTCGAATTTTCCATTGAAATTTGCACCATGGAGTTGCGGCACCTCTAGTAGGCAGTGCAAGTTGGCGCAATTTATCTCGAAAAATTGCGCTTGTTTATTCCGTCACCCCTAGCAACCAGCATTTGATACCCAAATTAGCATTATAAAGTTGCGCTGCACCAGTGACTTGCGCCACCAACTTGGAATTGGCCCCTAAATCTTCAACACAAAGAAAACCGTTTATATTTGTCGCTGAGTTAATCATTTTATCTTGTACCATCTACCAACTACCATGCGTATACTCAAGTAATGTTTGTAGCACACATTTGTTCATTTTTTAAGAAATAATCACATCAAACATTGCGTACATAACCTCAATTTTTCTTTTTGAACCGGTGGTAGCAAAAGTTGAATTTGCTACCACTAAATGAGTCGACATTTGCATGCGTCCAGGCTGCTAGTGAAAAAAATATGTTTTTAAATTTCTTATAAAGAAATAAGCATTTTGCAGTTAAGCTCCGCCCCTTCGGTTCACGGCCAGTAAAAAAGAATCATCACAATTGAGACAGGGCGGGTGGGCGGGCTTACATTTTACCTTTTTGTTTTAATATGTGCAGACTTTTTTTCACAACATGAAACTTAAAACATGTATAAAATGGAAAATTTGTATTAGGAAATATCGATTTTGCAATTAGGCTCCGCCCATAATTGCAAAATTCATATTTCCTTGCAAAAATGTACCATTTTAACCATGTTCTAAATTTCTTGTTGTGAACAGATGGCTATGTATATTAAAAAAAATAAGAAAAGAAAAGACAAAATATAAGCCACGCCCACCCGCCCTATTTCCATTGTATTGATTTTTTTTATTCGTCGTGAGCCAAGGGGGCAGAGTTTAACTGCAAAATCCTTATTTCTCTGCGAGAATTTAAAAACCTGTTTTCAAGTATCGTGTTGTTAAAAGTAAGTATATTAAGGAAAAAATGTAAGCCAAAGATTAAGTCCCACCCATACCTGCCCTAAATAGTAATGAAGTTTTCATTCGTTGGCAGACCTAGGGGCGGAGCCTAATTGCAAAATCCATATTTCCTTAGAAAAATTTAACATTTTAAACGTGTTTTAGGTTTCTAAGAATAATAATAAAAAAAAAATCATCACAAACAAGATGGGGTGGGCGGGCGGGGTTTGTATTTTGCCTTTTTTTCTTAATATACATACAAATTCTTTGAACAATACGACATTCAAAAACATGTTTTTATTTCTTGTAAAAATATGTATTTTGCAGTTAAGCTCCGCTCCCTTGATTCACGGCAAATAAAAAAAATCATCACAATCGAGATCGGGCGGGTGGGCGGGCTTACATTTTGTCTTTTTGTTTTAATATGTGTAGACTTCTTTTCACAACCTGAAATTTAAAACAATGGAAAATTTGTATAAGGAAATATCGATTTTGCAATTAGGCTCCGCCCCTCATTCTAAGTTTCACGTTCTAAGTTTCTTGTTGTGAAAAGATGGATATGCATATTGAAAAAAAAAAAAGTAAGCCCCGCCCACCCGTCCTATCTCAATTGTGATGATTTTTTTATTCGTCGTGAGCGGAGCGGAGCTTAATTGCAAAATCCTTATTTGTGTACAAGAAATGTTTTTCAGTATCGTGTTGTTCACAGAATACTATTTATATTAAGAAAAAAACAAGCCGAGAATTAAGCCCCACCCATATCCATCCCAAGCTCAATCAATCAATTTTTCATTCGTTGTCAGACCGAGGGGCGGAGCGTAATTGTAAAATCGATATTTCCTTATTCAAGTTTACCATTTTAAGCATGTTTTAGCTATCTTGTTGTGAAAAGAAGGCTACACATATTTAAGAAAAAAAGGGCAAAATATAAGCCCCTGTAGTTATAATACCTAATCAATGGCAACCTTGAGAGTGTATGTTAAAAATTAACCACCACCAATCGAATGTGGTGCTCAACTTAAACGATTCATTGTTGCCAACTTAATTTTAAGTGCGCACATTACCATGTTTTTCACTTGATTGGTACCACTGAATCGGCGGCCATCTTAGGGCTGGTTTATCAATGCTCAGTTAAAAGTATCTGTTAAGTAGCTGCCAGATAAGTAGTTATAACTAGCAGTTAACGAAGGTAAAGTGTTTATCAATGCACAATGTTTTTTCCAGTTTCGTAGCTCGAAGTTTAGCTGTTACTCTCTTAAGTTGGTAACGCTCACCCCACTGGAAATGAGTTGTGATTGGTCAGTTCAAAACTACCCCGAACTTAAAGTTCTATCAGATTCGGTCCGCATTCGGTATTCAACGATTGTATATCGCGTTTCACGTGATCAATCATAAAAAAGCAAAATTTAGCATTAGAAAAACTGTATTGGAAATTAAAAATGAAACAAGTAGGTACATAAATAAATATGTAAATACAGAGAGATCGACAAAGAAATTAGTCTAAGTTGGCCATGTACGAAAAGCCGTTAGTTTGTCTTAGTTTAAAATATGTTTTTATGTTATTAGAATCTTACTTCAGAAATGGGATAAATTTTGGGCAAAATTGGAAAACGGTGATTTTGATTCATTCTTATGTGTTTTAAAAGTAGGTGTCATAATTCTAATTTTAAACTGTCAATTTGACATTTAATAAAAAAATTTAAATTACGACAAACGGCTTGTCGTGCATGGCTAACTTCGATTATTTCTTTTTCGATCTCGCGGTATTATTAGATAGGTTTTTAATTTTTGGTACCTACATTAGACCTGGAAAGTAATCAACTAATAAAAAGTCTTTTTCTGATCTTTTCTCTGTCAATTTGTTCCACACCATAATCCTCATCAAAATTTGTTAAATTAATAACAGATTTATTTAGATTTGTTAGGTTATGTTTGAACTGTCAGTTAATTTATCAGGCACTTTGACCACCAGTTTTGAGCTGGCGGGTAACGATAAACAGGTTAACTAACAGACAAGCTTTAACTGCCAGTTACTTTAACTTAACTGCGCATTGATAAACCGGCAGTTAGTCGTGAAAAGTGTCTATTTATTGTGATGGAAACTCTACTACCAACCACACCATCTTAAAAGTTACTGCTATCCGTTATCTGTTGTTTCGGCCTCACTTACCTGGACTGGGGGGTTCTGTCCTGATGAACTGCGCCACCAGCGGCTGTTCCTCCGCCACCTCCACCGGTTCCTGCACTTCCATCAACACCTGTCCCTGACTCTCTCCCTGCTCTACCTCCTCCTGTATGGCCTCGCTCGTCACCAGCAAGCACTGCTGCTGCCCGTCGCTATCCTGCGTCACCAATATCGTCTGTCCCTCCTCGTTCTGTCCCGCGACTTGGTACACCGTCCCGTCGTCGCCGGTGATGAACATCGGCCTGTCGGTCGTCGCCAACGTAAACGTCGACAAGTCGGCCTCCACCGTCGGCACTTCGCTCACGACCTGCGCCACCTTCGGCGCCAGCACCATCGCCGCCGGCTCTTCGTCCAGCGTCGGCATGCTAATGGAGGGCTTGGGTGCCGCCTTGTGCGCACTCTTCTTCAAAAGCTGCGGCGTCGTGGGCGTCGGTCTGGGTTTCTGCACCGGCGTGTTAACCTTCTTGGCGACGTTGTTCGTCTTCGCTGAGTAGACGTTCTTGACGGGCGACATGGAGGAGATGTTGAATTTGGGTCGGGGGAGGATTTGGGGACGGGGACGTGGGGCGGCGGACGGCCGCGGCTGCGACGGGGTCCTCACGACTTGACCGATGGCGGTTCGAGGTCTGGCCACCGACTGGTTGATTATCCTGGGTTGAGTTTTCGGTCGGGGAGGGGGGGATTGCAGGGTTTTCTGGAGGATGTTGGAGTTGGCCATCGCCGCGCTCAGAATTGACTGCGTGGTTTTGGGGGTGGTGGTAGCCAGCACGGCGACGGCTACGGGCGCCGCGGGTGTAACCACGGGGGTCTTGGAGGCGGTTACGGTCACAGCCGCCGTGGTTACCGTCACCGTCGACACACTAGGGGTAGTACTCGCAGGGTTATTTTCACTGGTAGTAACCTCCAGATCGGGTTTCAAATCGTCCTCGGTTATATCCGCTGCCGCCAACTTCACGATATTATCTAAACTTTTGGCTCCGTCTTTCTTCTCCTCCTCAGTCGCGTCTTTCTTCTCCTCAACCGCTTCTTCCACTTCTGGGTAATCCATTCCGGCCACCTTTCCCGTGAACGGGTCCAGAGTGAACTCCCCTGGGGGACTCTCGGGTCCGGGTAGCGGCAAGTCCGTTGGGAACTCCAACTCCGGGATCCCGTCGTCGGAATCCTCGTCGTTCTCCACCGGCGCCTTCACCTCCTCCTTCTTCTCCACGACTTTGATCGGCTGCGCCTTCGGCGTCTCCACCTTCTTGACGTCTTTCTTCACGATCGGCGTCCTGTTCACCACCTGCTGCACCACCTTGGGCTTGGGCGCGATCGGGGTCAGCGACGGCGTGATCGTCGCCGTGGTTGTCGTCGTCGCCGCTTCGGGTCCCTTCACCTGCACCACCCTCTTACTGCCGTCTTCCTTCTTGATTATCTTGATCTGCGTCTGGCCGATCTTCGGGCTGACCTTGACGATCGCCTGGCCTCCGCTGGTGGCGATCTTCGACGCGGTCGGATCCAGCTTGATGATGCCCGACGACTTCGACATGATGTAGACGCCGGAGCTGAGCGACGGCAACTGTTTTTGGCTGATCCGGACCACGCCCTTGGCGTCGGGGATGAGGACGTTGTCGGGGAGCTTCTTGCCGGTGCCGTTGTTGTAGGTGTGCACGATTTTGGCGACTTTGCGAACCGGCATTTTCGGTTCGTCTTCTTCCGTGTCCTCGGACTCGCCCTCTAGCTTCATCCGCTTCTCGAAGGAGTCGTCGCTTTCGACGTCGTCGTCGAAGGGGCGCTTCAAGCCGCCTTCTTCGTCGGAGATGTTGCCGCACCAGGCCTTCACTTGGTTGAGGGCCTTTTGCTTGCTGGTGCGCTGAGGGCGACTACGAAAAACAATTGCAAAATTATCTACACGAATTCCTCTCACCTCTGAAGTACAACAGTTACAGCTTTCATATATTTTTTAATAACGATTTATTCAAAGAAAAAATCAAGATGATGTCAGTATTTTTCCAGCGGGTATAAATATATCTATTTTCAAGGTTGAGTGTAACACTAATAACACGTGTGTTTCTAGAATTTCAAGAAAGTAGATAAGCTGTTGGGATATTTAATCAATAAAAAATTCCTTGCATTTTTATTTCCTAAGCGTGAGCTACAATACGAACGCCGTACTTTGTAAATTCTAAACAATATACTTTTAATTTCTGCCAAATAAATGCTCTTTGAATTTTGTAACAGATTTTTGGTTGCAATATTTTACAATCTAACTTGAAACTAGAACTTCAAGGTAAATCGGCAATTCAAAATGTGTTTATTCCTGCCAAAAACTTGATGACGTCATCTTAAAAGTTTATTATTAAAAACTCTAACTTACGAAAAAGTTAAATCCGCAAAATTAATTTTATTAATTTAACTAAACAAATGGATTTAAAACAAAATACTAACCCTCCTGGCGTTGTAATGAGAACTGTCGAAGTGGGAGGCAATGGGGGCTTCTTTTGAACGACTTTAACGGCCCCTGGGCTTTGTGGATTCAATCGGGGCCTGCCTCTCCCCCTACTTGGCGGTTTCTCCTTTTCTTTCAGTTCTTTCTCTGCTTTCAATTTATCTTCAAACTCTTGAACCAAAGCTTTACAATTCTCTAAATGCGCCAAAGGCTCCCAAGACGGTCTACAAATTTTCAACATTAGCAACGCGTATTTTACAAAATTATCTCCTCACTCTTGATAACTTTCCCACTTTACTTCATATTCCCACAGCCTCTTTCTAGGATTGAATCTCTTGCCAATAATTTTTTCAACATTATACTCCTCCCTTTCATTATCTTTTGTGGTACGAAGACCCTTTTTAGAGCCCTACAAAAACAAAATTAACCTCAAAATATCCACGCGATTACAAAACAGACTTGTATAATTGTGACGTTTTTCAGGATTTCAGTCTTCGTGCAGTTGCTGCTGACCTCATTTTCGACAGCCCCATCTGAAACAGCGATGATCGTACTTATAGCAATGAAACGCTTGGACTTACCTTCATCCATGGCCAGAGGGTCCTTTTCTACTTTTTTTTCCTCCCTGACCACCTGCATTTTCCCTGTGCCGACTTTGTGTGTGTATTGTAAGGTCCGCCCTGCGGAAATCCACAGATCTTTCTCGATCTGGTTGAGCTTTGTCCATTTCTGGTAGATCTCCCACGACGTGGGGAGCTCCTCTCCGTTGCTCTTGCACGTTTTCACTTGCTTCACTTTCCAGAGAGTGAAGCCCCATATCTGCGACTTCTCCTCGTTCTCGCACTTGAGCACCGAAATGTTCGTGCACTCGTTCGAAGTCTTGTGCTTCTGGAACTCCTCCACGAAGTGGAAGACCTCATGACAGCCCCCGCAGACCAAAACGTCGATTTTTGACAGCTCTTTTTGCGCGTCTACAACGCGAAAATTACCAACTTGACCCAAACAAAACCTCACTTACCCTTGATTAAATCCTGTTCTTTGGAAATATCCAATGGGTCGGCGGGCGTCTCTTCCATCTCTGCAAATAAACATAACCTCAAACATTAAATTTTTATATTTAGCGCCACTGGGAAAAAATTATCCCGATTTTACGACACGGTTTGTTCGGAAAATGGACGTTTATCCTTGAGTGCTCTACGGTTGCACATTTGACGCGAAAATGGAAAAATGGCGTAATAATTATTTGCGTGCATGAAGGTCGTTTTTTGGTGTAAGAGTGAAGAATTCTAAGTGCCTCAAAATATTTGTCTTACCTTAAATTTGCTTTTTTTATTAATGTTTGACGACTGCAAGCGTTCTAAACATAGCGACAGTGCTGCACTCTACACGATTGCAACGGCAAACTCGGCTTGGCGGGAAGATTACTTTTGGCGGAGTTCGGTCCGAGAACGAAATTTTAGATTTTTTATTGCGCAATTTAAAATAAAACTGGGTCGCTTCCAAAAATTCCTAAAGTTTTAATTCATTTTATTTGTTTGAGTCTGAGGTATGGTGACATTGACGTAAATTAGACAGATAGGTTGGTATTGCTGATCGGGTTTTAATTTGTCATTGCGTTAGCGATTAGACCGTGTTTTGCATTTTTTTCAAGTTTTTTTAAATTTTTGTTGCAACGTAATTCATAAAAATGGTGTAAATTATCAACTATAAAGATTTTTTTTTTTTATTGCAACATTACCGATTTTAATTTTGAATGTTGGCAATCTGGTTCGATTATAATTCAGGAAAATATGTCTGTATTATGGACACAATGTTAATACAAAAATTAAACTGAAAAAAACAACAAATCATTTCTTTTCAATGCGTTTTTTTATTTTTGTCATATTTTACGCCAAATTTTGAGTTTTAATTTTGTTTACGTAAATTAACGTGCTATTTTTGAAGTTGTATAGATTTTTGACTGAATTTTCTTGAAATTAATATTTTGGCGCGATGATGAATGTCAATTAATGCTATTTATACCAGGACATTTTTTAATTTTGAACATATGAAAGGAAGTATGGGCTCAATCCCTATGTTCAGTTGAAAAAAAAGCACCTGATTTTGTCGAACAAAAATTCCAAACTACGTAGTTGAGTAAAGAGATTGGGTTTTCATAAGATATTAACTTTTTTCTTTAGTTAAAACATAATTTGTTCTGTTTCATTTATGGTGTAAACACTGTTTATATTTTTGTAAAATATTTTATTACAATCATTCAAACAAGTTGGTATTTAGTTTTTTTTTAATGAAGAAGGTTGGATGTAACATTGGTTGCATACTTCCAATTTACTGACACGTTTTACTTCTTTTCATATATCCAAAATTAAAGAAAAATCCCGGTAAGAGACAAATTTTCAGGACACTAATCGTCAACGTAAACACCTGGCCTTGATGTTCGCAACCTAAGGCCCGCATCTTAATGGATTACTCCGCCTTGCCGTTTAAACTGTATCAAACAGAGTTTTTAAAGATGAAATGTTGAGGCGTTGTTTTAGGCTTAATGGACTCATCCATTTTATCTATCCATAGTGACTTTTCTTAGCTCCATAGAACCCATCACAAATGTTCGCAAACTTCCTTCATCTCCTGTTGTTCTTATCTTACTAATCCTGAAAATGTAATTTATCTGGTCCAAAAAATATGCAAGCATAGCTTTATCAGCTTATGATTGTCCACTGAAACATTTTTGCAGTTTTTTTTTAATGTCGATTGGTAAATTTTTGCCGCCTATTTTTGCTTCATAAAAATTTTCTTGTTTAATTAGTCTAGTAGACATCCTCGCTATCGGAATTCTGTATCATATTTCTTATCAAAATTTTGTCAGTCTTTATTGATATTAATTATTATCAGAGTTGCCTTTTCTTAGTTCCATGTTAGTACCATAGACACCATTAAAACAAAAATCCGCCTTGTCATTTTACTAATTTTCAGCACAATTTTCAAATGAATACTGCTGCAGCGGTAAATTTCTATCGACATCTTCTTTTCCTCTTACTTGTCCTGAAAATGGTAAGACTTTTTTTGTATTTGCAGTTTCTAATAAGATGACATTTTAAGGTAGGAGTCTTTGCGATCGCACTTTCAATAGTCGACTGTCAGGGTAAATTTTCACCTGCAATTATTTTAGTTGCGTTTTTAGAAAATTTACGCGACCCTATCGCCATAGGCAATGATTCGCTGCAAGTGTTGCCACTGGTGACTGTCTTCATGTCGGTTGTGACTTGCGGTCTAGGTTTTGTCGGCGCTGTATGTTTTAACTCTCGCCCTTTGCTCGTTTTTGTGGTAAGAATTTTCCTTGAAGACAACCTCATTGCTTTTCTTGTGATTCTGATTAGACAGGTATGAATTTTTTTTTTATTTTGCTCTTGGAGTTAACTGGTGCATGGATTCTGACACCGGTCATTAACAGCCTTAAAAAAATAGTAATTGAAGAAATGAAAGCATTGTTTGAGCAGGTCAATGCAATGACTCCTGAGTTCAAGAGCGAGCTTACCTCCTCAGAAAAAAAAATACTCAAAACATTTGGGGAGACTACTCTCAGCTATCAGTTTCCTCTTAGTTTTGGATGGGTATATCTTGCAAATGGCAGTGAATTCTTAAAGGCAGAGGTAGATTACATTCAAACGCAGGTGAGATTCATTGTATCTTTTGAAGTATTTCGTTGGACATTTTTGTATCAGATTTGAGTAAAATGAAGAAGGTTTATTTTAAGCAAATTTCATTATACAAAGTGAACCAAGTTACAAATAGTTTTTCTTCGAATTTTCGTTTATTTACTTTTGGGAATTGGTTGTTTTCTTTGAAAAAGATTGTAAGTTTAAGTTATTCTGACATGGAATCAAATCGATAGAAGTGAAACTGTTATCATTAGCAGTTTATAAATTAATTTCGTTTAGGTAGCTTTATAGTACATTTTCGTGAAAACTTTTGCCAATCAGAAATGTATAGCTGGTATTCTTGGATTGTCGTTCTAGGTTCCATCACATACAATAACTTTTTTCGTGTTACAGTTTGTGGAAGTTTCTTTAACCACACGCGACTACGTTGTCATTGTCCAGAGTTGTAAGCTAAAAATAAAAAACTAAAATGTTAATTTTTTAAGATTTCTCTGACAGTTTCACGAATAACACCTTCGTACAGAAAAAAATTCATAAATGTAAATTAATTACACATAAACAAACAAAAAATTTACAAGGATATAAAGTCCAGAAAAAGACAACTATCGTTTACCACAAGGGCAATATTTGGTAGTTGGTTGTGGTTCACAAAACAAATATCCCTCCTAGAAAGTTAGACTAGAATCTATCTCTGTTACATTTTTTCAGTTGGAATGTTGTGGATTCACGGGACGCCAATTTTGGAAAATACGAATTCCTGAGAGTTGTTGTCCAGAAGAGTACGAAGGTAATAACTGTACGTTGGATGTAGCGTACAGTCGTAGTTGCCAATTTAAGTTTAACGTTTTCTGGTCTTGTTTGTCAACTCTGCAAATCGAATTCTTGGTTGTTGCAGTGCTATCTGTAAGGCAAATCATAACGCGTTGAACAAAACTACATGGTTTTATTTTCAGTTTGTAACAGGTTGTGTCGCCATGCGGCTGGTGCGTTATAAACAGAAATATCCAGATGGCAACTATGCTTCCGATGACAGTTCTTCGTCATCAGAAGAGGACAATGCGTTCGACCTTCAGGAGACTTTTAAATAAAACACTTATTACATGACAATTTCAAAAGCCGTAAATAAATAATATAGTGTTGTAAGGAATCACCCATCTCATGTTAAAACAAAAACCTGTTATAAATTCAAAAAATTCAAAAAGCAAAGTCATGGTTTTACGGAATGTATTTTTTCTTCATTATAAATGTCATAATCATACTTCTTCTTACAAAAAGCTTCTGATTTTTTTTTTACAAAAAATTTCTTGTTTATTTAAGTCTAGCAACTATCGTCGTTATTTAGATTTTATATCATATTTTTTATCAAAATTTCATTAATTGAATGACATGATATGGGTTCATAATGAATATGGTATTCATAAAGTTATCACAATCGCTAGCTCTCATGTGCAAAGTTTCATTCGTGTTGTAATCTCTTGCATTATAAAATAAATATTGTTACGAATGAAACCCATGCGCCGCCCCGGTACGACGCCCGTGGGTCTTCTAGTACGTATGTGTTTATTCTGATATGTACGGCGGTGATGACTCATCGGCCGAGCAGAGCGGCGTTGGCTAAAGAAAAGCCTTGCTGCGGAAGTCGCGATGGATTCCAGAAAGACCTCGATCAGGAAACCTCGAGAAGGAGAGTATGCGTTTAAATAGAGACCATCGTCTGGAACAGGATTATTCAGTCCAGCGAGTGTCGAGAAAATCCAGACAAGTTGCGCCAGAAATATTTTTGTACATAATCGCTCTGTAATTTGTCGTGTAAACAGGAGTTACTGAGAAATAAAATTGTCTACAATCTCAATCCACGATTATTCGCACATGCACACAGGCTAGTTGAAGTCGGTGTCACTTTAACCCGAACAAAAACTCTGCAATTCGAACTGAACTTGCAAACGTGGACCCACATGCAAAAATTACGCAATATCTTCTGCACGTGTTGTACTTATTTAATCTGGGTAATCTTATGCAAGAACTATCACACATTTAGCATAGGAGTATGATGTTGGAAAGGCGACCATCTGTGGTATCAAGAAAAAGAAAACTGCTATAACGTTTCATCTGCAGAAAATGGTTCAGGAATAAGGAAAACTCTAAAGTTGTGCCAAATTCCTGATACAGAATGTGCAAATTTCGCATGGTTCCTGCGACAATTCCTCTATCTGGTGATATTAAATATATGTCAGAAAGAAAATGGAAGTAACTACACAAGAAGTGGATGAGTGGATCGCAAGCAATGATGAAGAATCCAAGATTAATGATGAAGAGATTATCAATGAACTAGCCACAGAAGAAACAGCGGACGAAGATGAGGTGCCTGTTGAAACAGTAAATTCGTATTTTCGAATCTAATATACTCATAATGATACAAAAAAAAAACTATAATTACATTGTGGAAAATTTCATTTTTTAAAAATTGTCAAAAAATTCCCAAAAAACTCAGGGTTATAGCGATTGAGGTGCTGATACCAATTATGTAGCGTGTTTAGAGTCACGGAACACTATTTTCGAAATATTCGGAGTGAAAGTCGAATTTTTCCAAATTTTTAAAAAACACAATATTTCGATGGCGATTCTGGAAAAATGGTTGGAGTTATCGACGAAATGAGGCCGGAAGTGACTTCTGCGCCCGACCTCTACACGAAAATGGTTTTGTTAAATTTGGAAAATGGTCGAAAATGGGTCGAAATTTGCATAATGGAAAATTTCATTTTTGCAAAAGTCGTCTAAATATTCTCAAAAAATTCAGGGCTCGTTGTAAATCTCGACGTGGCAATTCCAAAAATGTAGCTCATTAATCGTCACGGACTAGTATTTTTACGTTTTCTTTACATTTAAGTTTTTTTTGTCGATTACTTTATTGTTATATTAAGCTTATTCAAAAAATTAAGTTATACCCAATTGTGAGAGGCCCTCTCGCTTTTGACTTAAACTTTTATATGTACTGTTACGTTGATTGGTAATTTAAAATCGGCGTCGGTTAAAACTCGTAATCCCTTTTCAAACGTGATCTCTCTTTAACCCCATACTCCGCTTCTAGAGGTTCCGTGATCGAGGTCTTTCTGGAACCCCTTCTCAACTTCCGCTTCCAGGTTTTTTTTAGCGAACGCCGTCATCGCCGCACATACTAGAAAACCCATAGCCGTCGTATCGGGGCGGCGCATGGCTTTATTTCGTAACCGTATTTAAAGATTATTTTTAATTTTTTAGTTCGTATTGCTACAAAAGCGTGTTTTCTTAGATCATTTAATCCATAATTTTTTATAAATACGTTTGCTGATCTAGCCAGGCTAGAAGAGAGTCATTTTTTGTTTAAACCGTCAGTATTCCAACACCTGGTACACCGAATTCTGTATCAAATATTGGAAAATTGAGAGAGAAAACTAATTTTCAAAAATGAATGTTGAGCTGATGTTGAGGCTTTATTTTAGTCTCACTGTCAAAAATGCCTGGCCTTATCTTAGTTCCATACAAGTACCATAGAAACCATCACAACAAAAACCCGCCTTGTCATTTTACTAATTTTCAGCACAATTTTCAAATGAATACTGCTGCAGCGGTAAATTTCTTTCGACATCTTCTTTTCCTCTTACTTATCCTGAAAATTGTAAGATTTTTTTTTGTATCTGCAGTCTCTAATACGATGACATTTTAAGGTAGGAGTCTTTGCGACTGCAATTACAGAAGTCGACTGTCAGGGTAAATTCTCATCTGCAATTATTTTAGTTGCGTTTTTAGAAAATTTACGCGACCCTATCGCCATAGGCATAGATTCGCTGCAAATGTTGCCAGTGGTGACAGTCTTCATGTCGGTTGTGACTTGCGGTCTAGGTTTTGCCGGCGCTGTATGTTTTAACTCTCGCCCTTTGCTCGTTTTTGTGGTAAGAATTTTCCTTGAAGACAACCTCATTGTTTTTCTTGTGAGTAGACAGGTATGAATTGTTTTTTTATTATGCTCTTGGAGTTAACTGGTGCATGGATTCTGGTACCGGTTATTAACAGCCTTGAAAAAATAGTAATTCAAGAAATGAAACAATTGTTTGAGCAGGTCAATGCAATGAATTCTGAGTACAAGAGCTTGCTTTCCTTCTCAGAAAACAAAATATTGGAAACATTGGGGGAGACTACTTACAGCTATCGGTTGCCTCTTGCTTATGGATGGGTACGTTTTGCAAATGGCAGTGAATTCTTAAAGGCAGAGGTAGATTACATTCAAACGCAGGTGAGATTCATTGTACCTTTTGAAGTATTTCGTTGGACATTTTTGTATCAGATTTGAGTAAATTGAAGGTGGTTGATTTTAAGCAAATTTGGTTATACAAAGTGAACCAAGTTACAAATATTTTTCTTCGTATTTTCGTTTATTTACTTTTGGGAATTGGTTGTTTTCTTTGGAAAAGATTGTAAGTTTAAGTTATTTTGACATAGAATCAAATCGATAGAAGTGAAACTGTTATCATTAGCAGTTTATAAATTAATTTCGTTTAGGTTGTCTTATAGTACATTTTCGTGAAAACTTTTGCCAATCAGAAATGTATAGCTGGTATTCTTGGACTGTCGTCTTAGGTTCCATCACATACAATAACTTTTTTCGTGTTACAGTTTGTGGAAATTTCTTTAACCACACGCGACTCCGTTGTCAATGTCCAGATTTGTAAGCCAAAAATAAAAAACTAAAATGTAAATTTTTTAAGATTTCTCTGACAATTTCACGGATAACACCTTCGTACAAAATAAGTTTGATAAATGTAAATTACATACACATAAACAAAAAAAAAAAAATTCGCAAGGATGTAAAGTTCAGAAAAAGACAACCATCATTTACCACAAGATCAATATTTGGCTGTTGGTTCACAAAACAAATATGCCGCCTAGAAGTTAGACTAGAATCCGTCAAAGTACCTAAGTCTGACACGAAATGCCTCGGTTACATTTTTTCAGTTGGGATGTTGCGGATTCACGGGACGCCAATTTTGGAAAATACGAATTCCTGAGAGTTGTTGTCCAGAAAAGTACCCAGGTGATAACTGTACGTTGGATGTAGCGTACACTCCTACTTGCCAATTTAAGTTTAACGTTTTCTCGTCTTGTTTGTCAACTCTGCAAGTCGAATTCTTGGTTGTTGCAGTACTATCTGTAAGGAAAATCATAACGCGTTGAAAAAAACTGCATGGTTTTATTTTCAGTTTGTAACAGGTTGTGTTGCTATGCGGCTGGTGCGTTATAAACAGAAATATCCAGATGGCAACTATGCTTCCGATGACAGTTCTTCGTCATCAGAAGAGGACAATGTTTTCGATCTGCAGGAGACTTTTAAATAAAACATTGTGTTAATATTTACTTTTTAATAATAATAATAACATTCATTGTCTACCAATTGTACAATGACTTATTACACGACAATTTCAAAAGCCGTAAATAAATAATATAGTGTTGTAAGAAATCACCCATCTCATGTTAAAACAAAAACCTGTTATAAATTCAAAAAATTCAAAAAGCAATATCATGGTTTTACTGAATGTATTTTTTCATTATTAAAGTCATAATCATACTCCTTCTTACAAAAAGCTTCTGATTTTTTTTTTCAAAAGTTTTCTTGTTTATTTAGTCTAGCAACTATCATCGTTATTTGGATTTTATATCATATTTTTTATCCAAATTTCATGAATTAAATGACATGATATGGGTTCATAATTATTATGGCATTCATAAAGTTATCACAATCGCTAGCTCTCATGTGCAAAGTTTCATTCGTGCTATATTCCCTTGCATTTTAAAATAAACATTGTTACGAATGAAAGCCAGTAGGACGCTCATGGGTCTTCTAGTATGTATGTGTTTATTCTGGTATGTACGGTGGTGATGACTCATCGGCCGGGCGGAGCGGCGTTCGCTAAAGAAAGACCTGGAAGCGTAAGTCGCGATGGACTCCAGAAAGACCTCGATCAGGAAACCTCGAGAAGGAGAGTGTGCGTTTAAATAGAGGCCATCGTCGGGAACAGGATTAATCAGTCCAGCGTGTGTCGAGAAAATCCAGACAAGTTGCTCCGGAAATATTTTTGTACATAATCGCTCTGTAATTTGTCGCGTAAACAGGAGCTACTGAGAAATAAAATTGTCTATAATCCCAACCCACGATTATCCGAACATGCAGTAATCCGCACAGAGGCTAGTTGAAGTCGGTGCCCCTTTAATCCGAACAAAGACTCTGCAATTCGAACTGAACTGCAAACATGCACCGACATGCAAAAATGAAGCAATATCTTCTGCATGTGTTGTACTTATTTAATCTGGGTAATCTGATGGAAGAACTATCACATATTTGTCCAAGGAGTATAATGTTGGAAAGGCGACCATCAAGAAAAAGAAAACTTTTTTTTTTTTTAATAATAATGAAAAAACTTTCAGAGTTTAAAAAATATATTTGTAGTCACTGCTACACGTGTTTCGGTACACAGTACCGTCTTCAGGCAGAAGAGTTTCTCTTCTACTGTGTACCGAAACACGTGTAGCAGTGACTACAAATATATTTTTTAAACTCTGAAAGTTTTTTCATTATTATTAAAATTAATATGGAGTTTAAACACGTATCAGCCTCATCAATACAAACAAAAAGAAAACTGCTATAACGTTTCGTCTGCAGAAAATGGTTGAGGAACAAGGAAAACTCTAAAGTTGTGCCAAATTCCTGGTACAGAATGTGGGCATTTCACATGATTCCTGCAACAAAGGGCGCGACATATTCCTCTATCTGGTGATATTATATGTCAGAAAGGAAATGGAAGTAACTACAGAAGAAATGGAAGAGTGGATCGCAGGCAATGGTGAAGAGATTATCAATGGACTAATCACAGAAGAAACAGCAGACGAAGATGACGTGCCTGTTGAAACAGTAAATTCATATTTTCGACTCTAAAAAACTCATAATAATACAAAAAAAAAACTATAATTACATATAAGCATGGTAACTTTTTAATGAAAATGTATCTGTTTATCAACCCCAAAAAATTGATTACGGCATCTTAAAATTTTGCCGAATAAATTCTTTCGCAAATGTGCAAAATATGAACAGACTTTTAATCATTGCATTAATATTTTTTGGATTTGGTTAAACAGGCGACTCAAAAAAAGTTAATGAATCAGTCAATTTATTATTGATTAAATTAAGAACGAGCCACCCCATTTTCTGCAAAATGTTAGAATACGCTCGTCATTATAACAATAAAATAATGATAAGGTAAGAATTATAATAATAACATTCGTAATATTTTGTTCAATGGAGGCTTATGATTAATTTTAGTCATCTTAGTCCAGTCACTTTAGCATAAAAAAGGGATCAACCTCGGAATGAGAGATAATAAGCTGAATTTTCGTATATACCTTCATTTTAGCGTTCTAAAAGTTGTCTCAAAAGTCTCATAAAATCTCGTGTCTGCGTCGTAAGTTATTCCAGACCGAATGTCAAAAAAAAAAACAGTTTTTCGCGATTATCTCGGTTTCTATTGCTCCAATGATGTTAATGTCTATTATAATAATTGTAGAGCATTCAATTTTGGACAAGTTTTATTTGAAACATTTTTTGATGCGCTTGATCGTTTTTGAGATAGAGGGCGGTGAGAGCGCAGCGCTCATCCATACGTACTGTAATGCAAGATCAAAAAAAAATCGTAAGAAATATACAGCTGCTGAATAAAGATAAAATTAAAATATATTAACTCGTTTCACTTCCTTAAAATTTACTTTGAATAAATTAATATAACTTTAAGATATATAATAATATGTATAACAAGTATAATATATTATCTAATATATCTACTAAACTTACATATTTTAAAGATAAAGCACTTAATTATTTTTCTACTTAAAATCTACTTTCAATAAATTAAGATACACAATAAGTATTTCATCTAAAGAGTTTTTAGTTACACAAAGTATAAGGAATTCACGTTCGGTAGATGTAACTAGATTTGGTAACTTTTTTTTTTAAGCTGTGTAACTGCGGACATAATTGTTCTAGTGTATAATGTATTACTGGAATGTCAGAAAGTAGGTATCAAAAATGTGACATGTAAGTAAGTAAAGGTCAAATATCGAAAATGTGATGGTTTTGTGGTAATCTGGTGAATCTATTTTTGAACCAAGGAGAAAATCGCATCCCTCTAAAAGCCCAAAGAGCAACCCGCATGTAAAATTTTGAATCTTTTCCCTTCACTAGTTTTTTTAGGAGGACAAGCTTTGATGTTATCATCATGGATCCACAATTTCACCATGGATCCGTTCTTGTATATCCATGTCTCATCCAAGAAAATGAAAAGTAAATCTTCACCACAATCGCGCAATTGGAGATAGGTACCGCCTTAGAAATTTGATTCTGGCAGCTATAACGTGTTTAAAATGTGAAAAACTTCGCCTTCGGAAACCTAAATTTATACGTGTATTACGTACAATTACTTTCAAAGCCGAGTGTTTTACCTCTTACAAAACAATAACGATTATATAAAATTTAAAAACCAATTGTAGAACGGAACCAACAAAGCATGTAGGTATATAAATCTGCGCAGTCGTCTTTCTGATTCTGATTATAATATTAACGGCACAAGCGCCGCTGTATCTGTATTATTTTAAAATTCGAAAAACACTCGACAACACTAGCGAACTTTACGGAGAATATTTCTGCCACCAGTTTAACTGTTTCCGTTTTACCCAATTTTTTGAAAACCACGAAATATTTCTTGTTTCTTTTCCTTTAAAATGAGCTTTCTCGTGATTACTTTCATGGAAATTGTTTCCATGCTGTATTTAAGGATTTTCTTGAAACGAAGCGTGTTGAAATTAGAAAAACTTCGTTTTTTTTCCACACAATTCAGATTTGACATTTGAATTAGAAAATTAGACAGTTGATGCCAATCTTAAATTTCTAGTGATCTTAAGATTGCAACTTAACCACAGAAAAGTTTCTGTCAGTTACTTCTACCGAACGTGAATGCTTATTAGGTAAGTATTATTAAATGAATATATTGAAAATGTGTAAAATGTTATTAAATACAATGTAATAACTAATAAATAATACAAATTATTCAAAATTCAAGCTATTCACAGATATTCACGGTTGATTTTGCATTACAGTACGTATGGATGAGCGCTGTGCACTCACCGCCCTTTATCTCAAAAACGATTGAGCGCATCAAAAAATGTTTCAAATAAAAGTTGTTCCAAATTTTCTGCTCTACAATTATGATAATACATGTTAACATCATTGGGGCAATAGAAACCGAGATAATCGCGAAAAACTGTTTTTTTTTTGACATTCGACCTGGAATAACTTACGACGCAGAGACGAGATTTTATGAGACTTTTGAGACAACTTTTAGAACGCTAAAATGAAGGTATATACGAAAATTCAGCTTATTATCTCTCATTCCGAGGTTGATCGCTAATTTGATTGGACTATCTGTTTTGGGGCGATAAACTCATTCAAATCAAACAAATGTCTACGAGACATTCTTCCGATGTAATGGATTCCCGTTGATAATGTGCTGTAAGTAAATTTTTTGGACTCATAACCTTTTTTGATGACCTTGGCGCATGCGGGACGTCGAACATCACGCACGGTAGCCTAGCTCGCAAACGTTAAATTGCTAGGTGTTTACGACGTCGTTATTTATAAATAAAGCTGGACGGTCGAAATTTATTTATCCTATCTACCCGTCTGATGGGCGGCCGGTGCATCCTTGCCTTACTCGCTTCTGGCTTTCCAATTGTGCATTATTTTTAATAATTTACAGAAATAGTTTTATTTTTAGCAAGACCGACACTTGAAAATTATTAAAAATATTATTATTATTGTCGTGGATATGGATTTTAAAATCAACTGACGTTCAGTTAACGTCAAAACTGATATGCGTGTCCTTGCTAAAATGATGATGACGTCACCGCAAAATTTTTTAAAATGCTCCGCTATAAAAATGTGATGAGAAAAAAAAAACATAATAGGCACACTTTATTCTTATATTAAGCTTATTCAAAAAACTAAGTTATACCCAATTGTGAGACGCCCTCTCGCTCTTGACTTATTAAAGTTTTATGTGTATTGTTACGTTGATTCGTAATTTAAAATCGGCGTGGGTTAAAACTCATAACCGTATCTCTTTAAGTCCATACTCCGCTTCTAGAGATTTCGTGATCGAGGTCTTTCTGGAATGCCCATCGCAACTTCCGCTTCCAGACTTTTTTTAAGCGAACGCCGTCATCGCCGCACATACTAGAAAACCAATAGGCGTCGTACCGCCTTGTTCATATTGCTACAAAAGCGTGTTTTTTT